GACATGGTGCTTCTCTTTATAAAAATAGCACCGGCGATTGTCTGACAATGGAGGACGTTGTGGAGTGAGAGGGTATTGACCAAATAATCAATCAGGATAATGCGACCCAGTCATGAAGTGTGTCGACAGCATTAGCACAGTTCAGGATGGGGATGCACTCTCCTACATCCTGTCTGATTAAAATGTTTGAAACAAACGACATCATGTATGTTGACTGCTATTTCATTATCACAGAATAATGTTGACTTTCACTGCAAAACCACTGAATATTCAATTGAAGGAAAATGCCCTGCAACCAGTATAACGCTACATCGGAGGATATGACTTTGCCGCTATTTAAGACGGGTCAAAGCAGAGTGACTCGTTAAGAGTTTGTAGAAAACTATCAGATTAAACCCTGAACAATCTCATTTGCCATTACTGCATGATTACGTACGAGTACATGAAACTGGATTCTCTGTACAGATAGTTTCAGAAGATACTTCCTCTTTTCGGTCCTACCTGGCTAAAATAGTGAGTGCTTATTTTTAAAATAATCAACTTTCTCCTATTTTTTAAGTCAACCAGCCAACTGAAAACACAAGAGACTTAATATGTTGATGTGCAGCTTCCAGGAAGTCTAAAGGTTAGAAGTGTATAAAATGGCTACGTAGATACGGACAACAAGGCCAGACTAAGAAGCTCTGTTTTGGTCACATCAACAATCTCCTCCCTCGTCTCGAGTGTGCAAACTTTACTTCAACTCAACCTTTGATCGCAGTCATGTTAGAACATACAGTGAATTCACAAACCAAGGACAAACAGGTTTACTTTCAAACGCAGCAAACCAGCACGATGAGCAAAAAGCAACTAGACTTTCTTTTAACCTTTTTATTGGTCAACAGATATAGTTCTGCTTTTTATCCTTCATGTCTTTAGACATTCACAATTACAAAAACAAAGCTCATTCTTCCAAGGCTCCCTTGTTATGAAGAAGAAACAAACACACAAGTATGACAACTGCTGCTATCTAGTGGACAGCAGCCAAAACTGAAAGTGCTCAGAAAAGGAGAAATGCTTTACTGGAACGTAGCAGCAGATTTATGAGTATGTGAAACTCGTCAAACTAGGTCAACAAACAGAGACCCGTCAAACCAAATCATGTCAGATAACCAGAAACAAAGGTAAAGCAGGTAAGCAAGGACGCACAGGATACATTTAAGGAAAACTATCATGAAGGGTTCGAGGCTCTTACCCTGAGTCGTACGCAGCCTCTTCTGGATCCTCGCATCATCTTGTCTTTTGACTGTGAATCAATAAAACAGAGAGTCAGGGATCAAAACATTTAAAGTATGAGAACATGATGTGCATTTAAATGCAAGAACATTTTTACATGTTTATGTTCGGAAATTTCAATAATTCAAACAACTTTCAAAAGTCCAGAAGTTCCAAAAGTCTTATTATAAGAAAATAGAGAAGATTCCTCCTAAAATAATAAAAGTAAATGTGACTGATGTCGTGGCTTAATAATTCACGTTAACCATATTTTTAGAGTTACTTTAAAAAAGTTTCTTACTTTTTGTTGAAATGAATAACGCTCAGAATAAATTTGGACATAAGCAAAACAGGGATGCAAATACAGGCAGAAGTAGAGGTGTCTGTAGCTCAGGAGGGAGTGCAGGTCATTTACTAACTGATCTGACTGCTCCAGTCTGCGTGCCAAATACCCTCGGGCAAGACACCAACCCTGAGTTGCTCTCCGATATGTCCATCAGAGTATAAATGTGTGTGAATGTTAGACAGAAAGCACTGTAGTAGAAAAAGCATAGAAAAAAATCGTGTGCTTGTGAATGAGGCATGTTGCAAAAAGCGCTCAGGTAGAGTATAAAAGCGCTAAATCAAAGCCAGTACACACACTCACCCTGCGCATGAATGTCATATACATACATACACTCTCTCTGATCTTGGAATAAGTTGGGCTGAAGGTTCTACAGTGTGTGTCTGATAACTTCTCCTGAGTGATCACGATACACTAAACTGGAGATTTCTCTTTGCCAGGATAAAAAATATATTTTTTGACACTCACTGGATGAACCGACATTCAGAACAATGGCAAAGTCAGCTCTGGAAATCACTTGAGCCATTTGTAGACAACTGCAGATTCCAAGATCATCATTTTAAAAAACTATATAAATACAAATTATTCAGTTCTGTCAGCACTTCACTAACGTATGGAAGCAGACCCTGTCACCCTCAGATGAGTGACGCTTGCTCAGGATGTTCAAGAACCATGAAGATTCAAGCCATGAAGTGTAAAAGCGCTGACCAAGAAGTCGACACCTTCGAGCTCAAATTGTCAGTGGCCCACATGGACAAACCAAATGGTGTCTAGAGAAACGTTTTATGACCGAATGAAGAAAAAGAATTGAGGCGTTTGGATGCAATGGTCATTATTTTTGCCACTATTACAGATTTATTTTTGTAGACTAAAGGTCAAGCTTTCAAACCTAAGAACATTGTACCAACTGTCAAGCATGGTGGTGGTAGCCCCAATATGTATTCAAATTCTGCAAAGAGTTAAAAAATATCCAGCCACAATTATGCCAGAAGCTTATTGATGGTTACCAAAAGTGTCTGGTGAAGGTGCAACTCACCAAGAAACATCTAACCAAATAATAGTCGGGTTGTATGTATATATATATGTGTATTTTTGGCCCAGTGTGGATTAGAAAATCCTAGATAAATTCAAAGTTCTTGTATTTTAAAGTTCTTAAAGAAATAAGTTGTGTGTAAACTCCTGATCACAACTGTAGCGGATATATTGGACAGAGAATCAACAAACTGATCAAAGACCCACAAGACAACACACATGCCATCAATACAATGTTGGAGCGCCAATCAGGATTATTTGAGATCCTGTTGGCAGATTCTTCTCACACCACCTCCTATCATGGTGTCGACTATAATTCAGCTCACTAACTGCAGTCGCGGTTACCTGACAGCTCAGGTTACTGTGTTCATCCCTTCAGAATAACACTGTCAATCGCTCTCCATGTGAACAAGAGTACATTGATTTCTTTTTCACTCTGTCAGAGGAATGGACGGCACTCGCTCTTCCCTACAGCTTGTTTCACCGGTTATAACTTTTGCCTGGTTTACAGTCCGCATTATATACTGCTCAAACACCCGGTGAGGTTAATAACCAGCAGCCACTCTCTACCTTTGCGGTGTAGCTTTATGGCTTTAAGGAAACTAGTGAACGCTGTTCGCTTGGTTAACTATCAGAACAAAGGTCGCCTCTCACGCACCCACACACATTTCTCTCTTCATTTCCCCCGACAGTTTAAACGATCCATAACTATCTCTACGTGAATACTGTGGGGTTTTAGCGTGTAGCTGTGCTAGCTAGCCGCAATTGCGGAAGCATGGGCAAAAAATGCTATCACCCGATTGGTCAGTTAGCATTCGAAAGCCTCTGCTATTGGCCAACGTACGCATCCGTCACCAACAGAGACTCGCCTCGCTTTGCCAGCTGAGACTCCCAACTCCTGACAAACACAAGGCCCTTCTCCCACTTCTGCTGACGACCAGCCGCAACTTCCACAGTCTAACCTCCTGAGAAAGACATGCTGACAATCGCAGCCGAGATGAACGTACCGTGTAGTACGACAGCAGGCCGGCATTGTAGTCCAGAACAAACCAGCGATACTGCCAGCCTTTCATGACGTTGGTCCACTTGCTGAGCGGCCCCTCCATGATGGACGCCATCTTTACAACAGGCTCCGGGCGGGGAGGAGTCGGATATGGTGTGGGGTAGGCGTCATGGTATGAGGAAGATTATCGTTCTGATGATGATGATGACGCTCATCACATTCAGCATTCAGTGAAAATAAAGTAAGAGTAGTCACTTGACCCGGAGATCATGCTCTGACACAAAACGACTAAAGCTATAAATAAATAAATAATCATCCAAGTAAAAGTAGTTTCCAGTGATTTTGATAAAGATGTTGTTATTATCTTATTGAATCTTACCTTTTTTTTATATCCACAAACGTGTGAATTACCGGAGTTCATTTTAAGTGTCTGCTATGCTGTCCTAGTTTCATCTATAATTTCTTTTTTTTTACAGAAAAAGTCAAATACACTACAGATGCTATGTTTGCTTTGACAGTGCTGATGGAGAACAGTAGAGAGAGTTGCAGGACATGTATGATGGTTGTAATACAACAGGGATTGGATCTGAGTCCCTTCTTGGTTGCCATGGTGATGGACAGGCCAGACCAGGGGCGCATCCAGAATTTTATCATAGGGGTGGCCATATGGGGGCCACTTAAAATATTGGGGTGGCACACCAAAAACAGAACAGTGCATGGGTGCTGCAGAAGGGTGGGGGTGACAATGGGAATCGTGAGGGGCATACAAAAAGCCCCAGGGTCAGACAGGAGTCTCTGTGGACTATGGTGTGTGCACACGTTAGTAAGGGTAGGGAGTAGGTGGCAGAGAGCCTGGAGAGGTGGAGGCATGCTCTGGAGAGAAGAGAGAATAAAGTCAGTGTGAGTGAGATAGAAGACGTGTGTGAATGAGAGGGAGAAAGGCTGAACGATAAACATGGAAAGAGTAGAGGTAGTGAAGCTCGATGAGTTTATATACCTGGAGTCAGCCATGCAAACCAAAGGACGGTGTACAAGAGAGTTGATAGAGACAGGGCCTGCTGCTTGACAGTAAAGATTTTCAACTTGAATATTTTATTGATCTGTATCCAAGGTGTAATTTTAAGTGCTCCTTAAGCTTTTGAGCAGCATATTTTACACAGAATGATTTAATTCAAATCAAGTCAGTTTTATTTATGTAGTGCCAAATCACAACAAGAGTTCTCTCGAGGCGCTTTGTGTTGTAAGGTATAGACCCTAAGATAAAAAAGAGAAAACCCCAAATAACAAACGGCCCTCATATTAGCAACACTTGGCTAACATCGTCTGCTCCACTTGAAATTTACTGCAAATAAACCACAAACCAAACAATATTCATCAATATCTTTATTATTTACAATAGGCTTAACACTGATAAGCAAAACTTCACAGTAATATAATGTGAGCTTTAAATAAAAAAAACAAAACACAAAATATATATTTTGTACAATAAAAAAGTTAATGTTAACATCTGCCATTTTTCATCCCTGTTTAGTTTCACATATTTCATTACGGTGTGTCTGTGTGTTGATTTTACATTGCACTCATACAACTGAAGACGCGGCCTTTGGTATATTGATACGTACGCACGTTCTCCAGAGCTGTACTCCACAACAGGGAGACGTGAGAAGACAAAATAAACAGATCTACAGGATCAATGCAGTCAAAAAACATAAATAAAGTCAATGTAAAGGACTGAGAATGAGCAAAAATGTTGTGGTCAGGCTTAAATATTAAACAGCATTGGTCTTGAGATCAGGCTTGTGAGTTGGTACGAAATCAGTTTGCTGACAATCAACGATTGAATCCTTAAAAAATAAAAATAAATAAAACTGTTTGGAAAAGAAATGCGTGATTTCAGGATTTTTTTCTTTCACCATCTAAAAAGGCCTATTCACACAAAGTAAAGAGGAACTAAGGCCAATCTGGTGCTAGTCAGTTCTAAAGGTTTTAGACTGAAGTGTGATCAGATCAGGCAGATTTGTGTGACCGGACTAACAGCGCTAACAGCCACAAATAAACCCCATTAGTTCCAGATTTTCCAAATAGAGTCCGACTGATACAATTGTTGATCCAATATTCTTTCTTTCAGACACACAGAACTAAAAATATTTCCTTAGCATTTATTGGGGTAATCTGTTCATGTATTTATTTATGCTGTGTTGCCAACATGAAATTCGCAGAGCACCCTCTGGTGGACAAGATATAGAATATCAACATTCATAACGTGGTTGAAGGGTGTTTCTCACATCTCTTCTAAATTTTAATGCATTTATTACAAATGCTGACACCAACTGGCAAATGTCCAATATGGCCAAACAGCACATGTTGGCATCGGGCCGTTAACCTCCAAATGACAGAAACCGACAGTGCAGTGACAGGATTATAACGATGTCATTGAAATCGAAACATACGCATGAGTTTTAATGAGGGACTTGAACATTCTGTGAGTCCTCGCAGTGGACAAGTTGTTTCACAAAAAGGCACCAAGAATTGTGAAGAAAGGTGGCATTTTTCATTTCATGTTATTTTAAATGCACAAAAATCAGCTGGTCTAAAAGCATCCTGTTTGGCAAAAAAGGGCAATTTTACTGACGCACAATAAGAAGAAAAATTAAAGGATGAAATGCACCACAAAAAAAAAAAGACATGCCATTGAAAGGCATTAAAAGTGTTACGGACTTGCAGCAGTGTTTACAATTTTACATGTACAGAGCATGTGTCAATGAACCAATGAGATCGAGGCCGTATCCAGTGTACATAAATATGAGAACCAAAGCAAGGAAACAAACAAAAAGGAAAACAATACAAGTTGTGTATGTGCTGTACACAATTCTGCTTGTGCTCAAAAAACAGAGCCGATATCTCTGGACTTATTTAGTGTGATCGAAACAAAGTATGGGCTAGTAAGTTAAATGGAAAAAAGAATATGGCACCTTAAGGGATTGAAGAGACACGCAGTTGAACATTCAACCAGGTTGAGAACAGAAGAATACATTCATAAAGCAGATAATCAGATCTGGGTGGATGGGCCTTGAAATACATCTCTTCAGTCAGAAACATTGTTTTTTATGCTGTGACCACAGATAAATCTTTTGATTGCTGGATATGAAAGAAGTCAAATATTTACATAGCTTTTCTTTTAAAATAGGTCTGTGCTTTAAAAAAACCCCAAACAACAATAATTTAAAATTCAAGTTCATACATAGACATTCTAAAAAGCATTTTTCTGTGAACCAAATAATGTACAAATTGCTCATGTGCTGAAGACATACTGCAGTTAGTTGAGAGATCAGTACTGTGTGATTAGTGTGAAGTAGGTCTCTGCATTTCGCAGCGTTCTTACACTGAAGAATGAGGCACTGAGGCCATGACTAGGCTACAGGGAATCCAGCACTGGCCACACTCGCAAGGACACTTATAAAAACACTGTCCCAGTTCACCTGCTCGTGTGCTACCCTGTGCTCTCTCTTTCCTCACTCCACGTGTTTCAGCTCCATCGTGCAAAACAACGAAGCAGCGTGCGAGGATAACTGGACACGAATAATGAAATGCTTTAAGGGGCTGGGGAGATTCCCCATTCTTGTGGCACTACGTTAAGGTGTGGACATCAGTCACTGAAGCAAAGACAAATTCTGTGTTCGTTCATCATGTGTCAGTGCTGTGGGGAATATCTGTGAAATGCACACGTTTACTTTTGTAGGCAATCGCTAAAACTTTTATTATGATTAGGTGGACATGTGGAAATTTCACGGTTACTATTGAAAAAACAAAACAAAAGCAACCAGACTTTAACCCCACACAAGGGACAAAGCAGGTGTGGGTGTTATTTATAACCTTTTTACACTTGTCCAACTGGGCTATGAGAACACCCCCCACCACCCCTCGTACCTCGAAGGAGTTCACATGAATGTAGTTTCCGAAATGGCTCACGATCACTTGGTTCTCCAGACACAGAGGAAAACGGTACACTTACATATTTGTAAAACAATTCTTGAGTTTAAATCGAGGGGAAGCAGAGTGAGCTTTACCTACACACAGCTGATACACTCGACATTCAGGCAGCAAGGACGCCTTTACATCAAGGCCACGTAAAAAGTTGTGTTGAAACGTTTTATGGTGCGACTTGAATTTAGTTTGGTAGATTATTTCTCAATATGTACAGGTTAGAGGAAAATTAGTGTCCACACTGGCATTTTATCAAACTGATTTGTAAACAATTTAAAAGAAAAAAGAAGTTATTTCTTGTAGTGATAGTGTGAGGTACTGCAGAGGTGCGTCTCCATCCGTCCCCAGAAAGCTGTCAACAGAACCTGAAACATAAAAAAGGAATCAAAGCGACCTGTTGGGTAGTTAGAGGTGAAGATTTGTGGCGTTACGGTGGCTACCTCTGCACTACGTCACTAATCTCTTTAATACAGCCGTGTAGGTTATCCAGTACAGTGTTGGACCCCACGCCACCCAACCCCCCACCTCCTGACGACGAGGCTCTCAGTTCCTGCAGGCTGAGCTCCAGCTTCCCCACTGCCTCTCGAAAGGCAAACTTGTTCCTCATCTGAGGGATGCAGTCCACATAACCTGAGCAGTAGTCTAGCAGCTGATGGCCAGCGTCCAGAACCTGGCTGCTGGAGGGGCTTTCGGAGCTGGCGTGGAGTGCGCTGCTCAGGCATTCCGCGCAGTCCAGCAAGGCCTCGCGGCTAACCCGCTCCAAGGGCGCCCTCTCCACTTGCTGCCTAGTTCGCCGCAGTGCCACTTTGGAACCAGCAGACAGTGCTGTGTGCGAGGGGGCAGTGGTGGTCGCCCCATTGGCCATTTTAGTGGGCGTTGTGTTTGTGGTGGCAGAGCAAGAAGAAGAAAAGGAAGAAGCTGGAGGCACTTGCGGTGGTGGCACTGATGGTCTGCCTGTCATCATTCCTCCTGACATTCGCCCTGACCTTTGACCTTTTAATGTGTCCCCATTTACTTCCACGGGCATTCCTCCGACTTGCTCTTCTCCGTCGCCGCTGTAGGAGTGTTGCAGACTGCGCAGAGTAGGGGGAGGCGGCGGCGCACACTTGGGTTTGACGAGGCGTGGCTTGTCTCGGTCTGCTTGGTGCTCAGACAGCAGTTTAAAGCGGTTCCCCTGAGAGTCTAGCCCGACCAGGTGCACGTCACCTGGGCTGTGCTTCAGTGTGGGAGAGATCAGCACTGGGACTTTGTGGTTGTGAGTCGGCCCACCTGCTGCAGCTGATGACATGCTCAAGCCCGAGCACTTGGAGGGAGATGTCCAACTCTGCTGCCTGTCCAGTCCTCCACTCTCCTCTCTACCCTCCCTGACTCGGGACAGGCTGTCCGAATCCCCAACTTCCCCCCCGACCCCCGGTGCCCTCACCCCTACAGCAGTGCCCCGGGGTAGTAGCTTGGCTTTGGGCCTTTCCCTGATCTGTGCAGTCCCCTCATCCATCCTCCTCAGCAGAGTTTCTGACGGTCGTGCAGCCCCGTTCTCTGGCTGAGAGGTTGTTGAGGCAGTCCTCTCCAGAGGCGGTTTAGCACTGCGGTTCCTGGGTAACGTCAGAGCCATGCGCTCCAAATCAGGCAGCCCAGCTGACATTGAGGAGGTAGAATTGGACCTAGGGAAAGGTTTAGGCCCACCAACTATATTTCCACCCTCGTCTGCGGAGCATGTCTTTCCTGTCCGTAGCCCCAGGGTCTTTTTAATGAGTCTAGGGGTAAAAAAGCCAGCCAGCCCACTCCAACTGCTGCCACTTGTCACCTGTGAACCAAAGCCTCCCCCAGAGGGTTTCTGTCCAAAAGCTGCCCCGCAGCAGCGAGACTGTGCCTGGATAGGTTCCCCATGTGAGTGGGAAGGAGACGCAGAGAAGCCCCCTAAACTGTCTGACTGGGGCAGGGGAGGAGGAGCACTGAAATCGGGTGTAGGCTCGTACTTTTTGTGAGGTTGTGTCTCCATCTCCCGGAAGGAACTGCTTCTCTTGGGTGGCATCGGAAGGTTCTGTTGGTGCTGAGAAGACTGTGACGAGGAAGATTTCTTTTTGATAAATGAGCTAAAGAAGCCAGTCTTGCGGTCTCGTGTAAATGTGCCCACATCCTGTGCATCCTCTAAAAGGCTGCTGGGAGATTTATCTCTTGACTGTTGCTTTCTGGGGAGGGCGGGGGAGCTGCCTGATCGGCCGTCCCCTCCGAGCAAAGATGACGCCCAACCTGGAAAGAAAAGAGGAAGAGGAGGAATCACAATCCTACAACAGACCGACTGAACTCAGCAGGAGCACAAATATCTGTTAAAAGCTTGCTTAATAGCTTAAAAGAGACATAATGAATAACTGCTTTTTGGCTCGCTCATCTATACATCAGTGTCACTCATGTCAGGCAGCTGATGCTGCTGTATCCTGTATCTCCGCCTTTGGGATTCACAATCTGAGAAAAGCATTCGAAGAAGGTGAACAGACTTGTTTTTGAGCCCGTGCCAGTCAAGGAAAAGCACACAGTAATTCAACGATTCACAAGCTGCTGTTTTAAAAGATAATGAACACACTTCAGGGACTGAACAACAGAAACTGCACAACTTCTCTAACATGGAAAGCTGCTGTGTCACTACGCTCAAAGAGGAAGCCGCAATTGTGTTACACTTCTGCTGACCTTTAAATCGGCACAGAACGCCGGGCAGCTTCACCAAACAAGCAGATGAAGTGAAACGAATGAAAGCGGAAGCTGCAAACGCTTTTTCATTACATTTAGAAAACCTGTGATGTGAAGCAGCAGATAGGAAAGCAATAAACCTCAGACACACGGTTCCTTATCTTTGGGAACATCATATACATTTAAAAATACAACAGAAAGAGGAAATGCTGAGATTCAAGATGTTCATTCAATGTTTGTGCACTGATTATTTCCTTATGGGCACTTTCACGATACCAGTGACGAACCAAAATGGGGTTTTAGTGGACTTTAGTTTTGCTGTTTATTGTGCAACAAAAACTCATTGACACTTCTTCTTTCTTTATTGGTGAATACACAAGTTCATGGACCAAAGCCCTAAAGACTTATCATAGAAGCATATTTGGTTTTCTTTCAGTTAATTTACACTTAACTTCCTGTGGTTGCTCCACTTAGTTCCTGTATTAGTTAACAGACACAGGTAAACAGAGGCATCAACGCCCTCCCCCCAGCACATGGAAATGATTTTTATTTCAGTGAACCAAAATATTTATTGACACCTTGTTTTAGTGAAGTACGACCACGTCAGGACAAAACTGACAGTCACATAAGGAGGTGAAGAAAGGTACACGCAGGCGAAGGGTTGACAAACCATTTTACACACGAGACAAACACACAAAAACCCAACACAAAGCAAATAAATAAGTAATAACTTAAAGATACAACGTTATGTACATTTATTATTAGTGAGTGAACAGTGAAGTATTGATGTGTCATCAAGTATTAATTGGAGGAATAATATTAATGGCACAAATAGACCAGGAGAGAAAATAAACAAAAGCTTATGTTAATCAGATGATGACTGTGTCACAGTGAAGATGCAGTTATTTATTTGAACATAAAGACAGGTTATTGTATTAGAGGAGTTTGAGTGCTGGTGTCTTTTTACTTGAGGATGCTGAAAACATTCGATTTTAATGCAATTAAAAAATACAGCTGTACAGGAAACTTGCAGAGTGAGGCTGTAATGCTGTTAAATCTCAGGCAGGACAACAGTCTGAGGATAACAGACTAAAAACGAGACGTTCTGTGATCGTGAGAGACGAGAACGTCGTTTTAACCCCCGTGCACAGAGCGCACTCATTCTGTATTCCTTTTATTATTTCATTGTTGAATATTTACTCGTTTGTGGGGTTTTATGCTTATTTAGTTTGTGCAAGCTTCATGGGTGATTAAAAAAAAAAAAAAACATACTTAAAAAGTAAGTGCTTATGAAAAATTGATCAGGCAGTTAGACATAAATATGCTGACCAATGAATGCATGCATGCTTTTGCTGCTGGTCGGCCAAATGAATGACAGATGTCAGATGGTGATCGATCAGCTGTCGGGGAAAATGACGGCCATTCTTTTGAGGCGGCGGGCCTGACGTCGCTGCAGCTGACTCTCTGAATCAGTGTCCTCCGACGTACCTGCAGAATCATAAAGTGAGGCACCCGACTGGTTGGTAGTGACATGGGCACGGCTGGCTGTACCTGAGTGACCGTGCGTGCAGTGGTCGGTGCGGCCGTCCAGTCCACCCTCGATGTTTTCCTTGTTTTCTGTGTGCTTGTGGAGTGGGCGAGATTTGGAAGGCAACAGGGGCATATCATGACTGAAAGACTGCAGCGGCCCGCTGTGATCAGAGGATGCTGTCTTACAGAGCTCCTCTGCCACCTCTGCAATGTGCAAAGAAGAAAAGCATTCAGCTGAGAGGCATTTACTACTCTAATCCAGCAAAGTACACGCTGCTCGTTTACTGACCAATTAAACCTGAATATAGGAGAGTGAAAAGAAGATTCCAGTTTGTTAAACTCCTGTTTGCACATGTTCACTTGTTCTTTCTCTACTCTCACATATTTAACTGAATTACCTGAAGCTGTGTTACTAAAGGTCAGTAGGCTAAATAAGACCCAGTTTGCATGATCAGCCAAGTCAGTGCATGTATTTCAGAGTCACAGTGAAGGTTTAGAGGCTACATGTCATAAGCTGCACGTTCCAGTACCTTCAGAAATGCTCGAGCCGTGAAACATCGTTTCGAAGGCTTGGTGGATCTCTGCAAACGAAGGTCGATCCAACGGGCTCCACTGCCAGCCTGACAGCATGACACAAACACAAAGATGAGAAAGGTTTTATACATGAAAGCAATGAGACAATAGCATTCGACTTCAAATCGGTTATCAAGCCGTCAATCTTTGTTTCTTTGGTTTATTTATACTCTTTTGTATTTCTTGAAAGACGTTATGCAAATTTACACATAATTGCTGTTTCACTTCATTCAAACATGTACAGACGAGCACTCCCTGCGTGTCTCTGAAATGTGGAAATGTGGTGCAGCAACAGGCAGGTAAAAAAAACATGCACTCACATGCCCTCATCAGCTCATAAACTTTGGGCGGGCATCCCTCAGGTTGCTCCATGCGATAGCCTTTCTCCAAGAGATCGTAGACCTGAGACAAATCGATACCCGGGTAGGGAGACATGCCATAAGTGGCAATTTCCCAAAGTAGCACTCCAAAAGCTGTCGGAGAAACGAGTTCAGAGGATCAAAGATGAGCACACTGAAAACTAATTCAAGACGGCAAAACGATGCTGGAAAAGCTGCACTGCTCACCCCAGACATCGGACTTGATGGAGAAGGTGTTGTAGGCAAGGCTCTCCGGTGCGGTCCATTTGATGGGGAACTTGGCCCCAGCGTGGGCGGTGTAGGTGTCACCGGTCATTAACCGGCTCAGGCCGAAATCGGCAACCTTCACGACATGATTTTCACCGACCAGGCAGTTCCTTGCTGCGAGATCCCTGAGAGGTAAAGAAAACAACAAAATTGGACATTTAGAAAAAGACAAGTGAAATATTATACAAGTAAAAGAAGCAGCATAAAAACACACACACACACACACACACACACACACACACACACACACACACACACACACCTTACCTGTGTATAAAGTTCTTTTTCTCCAGATACTCCATGGCAGAGGAGATCTGCGTTGCCATGTACAGCAGCGCAACAGCATTCACCTCATCGCGTTCACACTCTCTCAAGTAGTCCAGTAGGTTGCCATGTGGCATATACTCGGTCACAATGTAGAAAGGAGGCTCTAACGTACACACACCTGTGGGGGACAGACTGGTTTAAAAGACTTACTGAAGGAAACGTGAACAAGTATGTCTTAAAAAGGCACGGAAAATCAAAAGTTATCCTCAAAATGAAAAAAAAAAAAAAAAAAAAAAGGTTTAGCAGCATTCATCAATACTGACCCAGCAGCTGAACGAGGTTTGGGTGTTTAACCTCTTTCATAACTGCTGCCTCTTTCAAAAACTCCTCTACTTCCATGGTGTCTTCCTGTCATTGCACAAATAGAAACAAAAGAAAACATTTCTGTTAAAATCAGTGGGTTGGACAGAAATGGGAAATGGTGCAGCAACAATAGGCTTAATCACATGTAATACCACTGTCCACCTGCAGGTGGTGGTCTGTGATCATTTTTGGGTCATGCCCTATAATTCACAGCTGCAAATATGAAAATGTGACACTTTACAGCTGCAATCTCAGATAAACAAATAGTCAACATGTAGAAATAACTCTACGCACCTTTAGTGTTTTGACAGCCACAGTGAGGTTGTACTTTTTCCACACTCCGACATACACCTCCCCATACTGGCCTCCTCCCAGCTTGTGCTTCATGGTGATGTCTGTGCGCTCCATCTCCCACTTATCATGGATGGGTGACACACCGTACACTGTAGGCTTGTTACATTTGGGTGCAGGGTAGTGCAGCGTGGTGACCAGACCATCAGGTACAGTGGAGTGGTGATGGACCAGCTCCGCTAGAGTGGCGAAGCGGCTTTCGGATGTTACGTACACCTGATGGGGAGGAAGCATGAAGGTGGATAAGGATGAAAAAGAAAGAAAAAGGTCAAGATTATGAACAGACCGAGTCTGTCCAGAAAACATCACTCTAGTGAGCCCGTTTAATAATTTAAACCCAATCCTTCTACCTTTCCATCCGTGGCTGTGTTGATCCGGTAGTGGTACACTCTGCCCTCATAGCGCAGAGATATGGACAGCTGTCCGGGGCTGCTCTCGCTTTCTCGCACCAGAAAACTGCCATTGATAAGTGATGAGAGCAGATACTCTGCAGCGCTGCGGGAAACGGGCCCGTGGTACCAGCTATGCTTCTCCAGGCTGTTGACCGGTGTGATGTAGTTGGAGGGAACCCATCCCTGACCGTTTTTAGACCTCACTTCACTCCACTCTCCATTCTGGTTGTAGCCCAGCACACGCAGCTTCTCACCTGAACACAGAAGGAGTGGGTTGTGCAAACATATTAAAAGGTGCCCATTATAACGAAGGAGTAGTCAGCTTATCGGTATCTAGACAATCCTGTTTTAATTGATTTGTTGTCTGTTTTGTTACACAACATGAAAGACAACTAGTTCAAATAGTCACTACATTCCTGTAAGACTTGGATAACAGGTCAAACAGAAAGAAGAGGTTTCATGGGCATGACTCGCCCCTCAGTGAAATTACATCAAAAGCGATGGAACAATAAAAGGGTTGGGTGCACATCATATCTGTCACAGAGGGCCAGGCAAAACTAGGCCTGTACTGACTTGGTGTGTTGTCTCTGTCTGCCTCTGACGTCAGTGCGAGAGAGGGAGCGGAGAGGCTGATGTGCTGGATACTTTAACAGGGAGGCACAACAAAACACTGAAAGGAGCGGTGATCAGACTTGCCAGTGGGACAGAGGTTTAGGAAAAGAAAATAGCTTAGTGTGGAAAAAAAACGAGGGTAGATGTAGGTGTGATTGTAGAAGAAAATAAAAGGAAGAGGATATTAAGGCTATCCATCTTTTACACTCACCCTCCACTAAAATGCCAAGTTTACTCACTAATCCATTAACCTTTCAGCATCTTTCATCATGACGGACTGTGTTGGTCTGTAGGGGGCATTAAAATAAAGCGAGGGGCTTTGCTGGTGCAATAAAATTGGAAGCAGGAGGTCGAATGGAGAAGCAGATGAAAGTGGACAGAAGTTTATAAAACTCACAAACAAGATTTTGCAAAGCTTATCTTCTATCACAGCTTGCAGGATAGAAACACACAGACTGTTCTGACTCTTTGCTTTGGCAAAACAGGAACATTACTGCAAGACGACCCTGCTGCCTCCTGCACTGCTGCGGTCATTTTTTAAACACAGGCTTAAAGTTGATTGAACATAGTGTTGGGCTATCATTAGTTAGTTTAAACTTGGAGAAATAGCAGATACAATGATTCTGTAATAGGCTGCTCATATTAAGCACTACAGTCCAATAAACACTTAACTAAAATAGCTGCAGTGTTAGAGCCATATAACATTCAACTAACCAGTGCTACAGGGCTAGCTCATAAAACTAAACACAGTGTACTAGCAATCAGGAGAACTACATTAAACAAAGATGGTTATCCATATCCAGCCCACCAATCCACTGGTCTCCTCTGTGTCTGCCTTGTGTGCCCCTAGGTTTTGTGGGAGTGGAAACACTGACTGTCTTGCTGCCTCACACTGGGAGCCACATGTGCCTGAAGCAGGGCTTTGGTCTGGCCTAGCCTAGTCAGGTCTGGCACAGAGAAGAGACAATGATTAGCCCCAGACATGGCCTGTTAAGACCCCTTCTGTGACCGGCGTCCGCCTGCTGCGCTCGTCCACCTGTTATTATTACAGTCAAGCCGATTTCATATTAACACAACATTAAAGGCCCGCTGGGTGTTTTCCATGCAACACAGCAAAGAGTGGGACAGACAGCAAGAGAGAAGTGGAGCCTGGGAGCGCACATGTGCATGCATGTGGGCAGGAATCTCAGATTTACTCCATGAGTCAGGGTCTAAACATCATTTCCATCCCAGGCAGCTGCCATGGAAGTCTTAAAACGATGGATAATTAACGCGCTGCCACATTAAACACTTTAGACTGGATGGTGACAGAAGCCTGGATGTCTGAAAAATATTACGAGGATATTTTAAGCTTATTGCCCAGGGGAGAACTGGATGAGTGGTTAAGTGCTGCTGAATGAGAGAAAAGAGGTCTGGACTAAAAGTGTGTGCATTAAGAGGCAGAGCGAATAAGATATTTGTAATTATGGCAAAGCATGAGCATCACTGGTGTTTCAGGTATTATTCAGTGTGGAAACTATAGCACATAAAATCTCAGCTGGTCATGTGTGGGTGTCTGAGGATCAGGTTATTGATGATGTCATGAGATAAGCTCTGTTGACACAGAGCATTCCTTTGGAATAACTGGACGACACCTTTCCAGGTGGTGCCAACTTGATCCCTGTGCTCTGTTGCAACACGTGCTGTTTAGAAAGGTGTGGGTATAATGATCAATGATGTGGAAAAAAATCTCAAGCGCTCAGTTGCAACCAGACAACAATGTTTAGCGATGATGCACAGAAAGAATGAAGTTTTTGTGAAACCAGAGGTTGTGGCAGTGAGAGGGTTAGTAAGAAAGTATGAACCATCTAAAGAGGTTATTCAATTCCCCCCCCCCCTCCAAATTCAGACTTGGGTTTACCTTTGGTGATGCTGAGTGTGTTGTCTCCACTAGCAACAAAGTCATAAAGTGCAACAAAGAGGTTAGGGTCGCTCTCGGTCGCGCCCAGAAGGTTCTCCTTGGAGCTCCAGCGCACCGCCTCTGTCAGAGCTTCTGGTAAGAAAGGACAAGCAAAAGAAAAGACATCACATTACTATGATTATCAGAGAGATTTGATTCACACAGGTGAACAACAAGACCACAACTCCCCTGCTGGCTGACAGCTTCAATGAATTTTGCCAGCTTACAATCCTCTTTGACAGAAACTGAACACCAAAAGCAGCACAGCAGCATTTATTGCGACCCATAAATCCTAAGGTTTTTCCATAATCCTAAGACCCCATCCTGCTGCCCGTCTACCTGTCTTTCGAGGTCGAGTCCCCAGTCTGAAACCTGTGCGGAGTTTTTGGCCACTCAAAGCAGCCCACTCATCTTCAAAACTGCTGCTTGCTTGCAGGCACCTCAGAAGCATCACTTCACTCGGCCAACTCTCCTTAACTCACCTATCTCTAGCTACACAAACAGGCCTGCTGTGGACCAGGTACAATCTGAGATGGGAGTGTCTTTGCATTTGTATTTATGAAGGGAAAAAAAAGAGGAGGAGCTATTAAACCAAAGGGAGGGGAAAGCACATAAAGAAGGGCTGAATGACACACACACACACACACACGCACAGAAATGAATACATGCGTAGCTAACACGTACATGCTCTACAGCTGCTCCCAACATTGCTGCATGTCTGGACAGCTGGTTAAAGAGTGGGAGAGGATTGGGAATGAAGGGAAGCAGGATAAAGAAAAGTCACATCAGTACAAGAAACTGAAAACAAACAGAAGCTGCTACATGCATGTTTTTGCCATAAAGAGGATGGAAGTCGTGTGCCAAAAGTGATCGAGTAACCCCCGATTGTATAGTTCATCTTTAAACATATACAATGTGCTTGTTAAATAAGACCAACGCCTAATCCATGTAATATGCTTGCACAATGTTATTTTACATTTTAATTAGTGAGAAAAGCATTGCTTTCTCAAACATACACAGATTGTAACTGAAAGCAATAACCCTAAACTCTGAGTCATATTCAGAGTCAGATGAGTTTATTCTGGAGGCTGCAGTTTCCTAACCTATAGGATTTCACTACTGATTTATGTTTATAAACAAAACAATACAAAACCCCAAAATGATGGCAGCAGAATAAATGGAAGTGATATAACACATGATGTCACCTCTCGCTACCACATACATGTACAGGCAAATGTTTAACAAAGAAACTAGCTGATTCATAGCAGATTTCCTCCTCTGGGATCAGCGTCACTAAAGTCACTTTGACTGTCAAACCAGACTGTCCTGTTAAACCATCGTTTGAACCGACTCGGTGTTGGCACTTAGAGGTTGTTTTGAACTACTTACTGAAACAGACCATCCTGCCATGCAACAGCACTGCCACTGAGACCACAGACATGACCACAGACATGCAGGTTATGTTCAAGATGACACAACACGCACCATCTACTGTCCAATCATCACCATAGCGTCATGATTCCTGGAAGATCCCAGTCAACCTCATTACACAGGAAGTACAAAAGGGACTCAAGTTTTTAAGAGACCATCTAAATTCTTGCCTGATGCGTCTGATGCAACAATGATAAATTCCTACGAGTAACAGATTTGCTCTTTATTTCTAATATCAGCAGTCTGCAAAACTAACAAAAACACAACTGCTGTCATGCTACAAACACAAAATCTAGAATAAAAAACATGATATTGGCTGTAAAACTGAACTCTAAAACCAGCAAATGGGAGAACAATCACAGACAGCCCAGACGTTCACAATTCTTTTGGTAGACGAGGTTCTGATGAAAAACTATATTTTAATTAAGCCTGAGAGATTAAGGAAAAAGCTTTATCTAGTTAAACCATGTTAAAACGCTGCGTTTCCACCAGAGCAGTCCAGTCAAATTTAAAACACTGAGTGGCAATTATGTTTTAATCACAGACACACAAAGCTGGCAGAAATTCATCAAGAAATGATCCTTTTTCCCCTTTCTTAGCCTTCATAATTTGGCAGGTACACAGTCTACATGGGAAAAGCTCTCTGCTTTCATAGCAAAGGCTGTAAACACAACCGAAATCTTGTCTCAAACAATGCAGCTGTATATTGTCTGTTCTTTCCAGTATCTATTATTCAACACATGCCCACCTTTGTTCCGGACCAGCATGCACTGCAACGCAGCACTAGCTGTGACCTGACTCAGCCACAGTTCCCAGTACATCTTCTGCTTTGGGTTGGATGGCAAAAAGCCTCAGTATCCACAAAAACGCAGTTTCTCTTCATTCACTGTGACTCCAAACTGTTTTTAAAAAAAAACATCCAACTGTGTCTCAGACAATGGAGACTGAGGAGCTCAGGACAGTTCTCCAAGTCATCGCCTTCACTGTGGAGTACGAAGATTGTACACACAGCGATCGGAGAGCGAGAGAGAGACACAAAGGCATCTCCAGCCAAATTATTTACCGATGTAGTCTTTGACTTAAGCCACGCCGACTTCTGTTATTACCGTAGTGAATACCAGCCTCCTGCTGAAATCTACCCACTAGCTTTGATGTGGCCTAAGGGAGTCAAGATTTCCAGAGTCCATCTGGAGAACACAGACACCCATGACTGATGTTTGGAGCCTGAACCCACTCTGAAAGACGGCAAAAAGCGGCAGAGAGAGAGAGAGCGAGCGCAAAAAAGACATGTGGTTGGGGGCCATGCATATACAGAGGTTTGGGGGTAGGGCAGGGTATATGGCAGTGAGGAAGGACGTGTCCATGTGTGCGTGTATGTGTGCTTGGGGCGTGTGTGAGAGCTGTGGCCAACAGCAGATGGCCGGTCTTGTTCCTCTAGGGGGGAGAGGTCCTATTGACCCACACTTTTCTTCTGATGCATGTGCATAAACGATCATGGCTGCAACTGCTGTAGTCAGGCTAAGCCAACTGTCAGAGCTGCTCCTCTTACATATCTATGTATCAGATTGCGCTTCCCAGGAATGTCTAAATGAAAAAGGGACACAATGCCATTTCTCAAAAGGTCTCAATCTGAGAAATCTCAATTCTAGTTACAAGAGAAAGAAACTCCATCACTAATTATTCCAAGGCCTCAACCCGATCACATTAAATGACGAAATACTTCAGTCAGGCAAAATGCTCTTGGCCTCGTATGCTGAAATGTTTGACTGAGCGAGCAGTTGGCCAGCGCGGGGTATGTCGTGTGCCCGTCCGGGTGCCTCAGTGAGTGCGTCTGCTGTGATGTGCAACACATGTGCGCACTGAAGAAACTATGGCTTTGTGCTGAATGCTGGAGAGCGGGTGTTTGTGTCTGTGGGGTATAGCAAGCCTGCACCCCCAAGACAGCTGCGACAGAGGTGACCCTTGTACCAGGAGCACACATACTCACATATCAGCGATGACACCCTTCCCCTGGATGCCTCAACAGCTGTTTGAATGTTTGCGCCTACAAGTGTCTATAAAGAGGTCACTTTACCAGCCAAGCACCTTGTGGGGAGTAGTAAACAACACGGTAATATCTTCTGCACACCCTAATCAAAAACAATGCTGATTGTATCTTAAGCCCGTGACCAGTGAGGTCAGGTGGTATTTTCAGCTGCTGCAAAACAAAACATGGCAGCATGACATCCAGGAATAACTCTGCAAAGCACACAGTGACGACGGTGTGATGATAAACGGCTGGCTGAATGCCGGAAGTGTGAACAAAACCCTCATACAATACTGCGGATGAGACCCGCTTAGACAAGACGTTATGTGAGCCTGACAAGCCTGATCAGATCCTGCACTGTATTCACTCCATAATCCTGGAAATGATAGACCTGGGGGCTGAAATGCATGCTATAACCTGGCACCACCAATTATCCTTTCATATTCAATGACGATTATCCAGTTCTTCATAATTCAACCTCAAATCTCGCAAGAGTTTATGATGTTTTTCAGAATTAGAGGAGACTTTCAAACTCTCCATGAATGTCTTAGAAGTCAAGAAAAAGCCTTTCACAAATGTCCTGGACATGTGGCTTTACATTCTGTACAGCACATTACGATGTCTACCTTTAAACATCTGGATCAAATAGGAAATCCACAACATGTCTGATGCTGTTTAATTGTACGAGTTTTAAGCAAAATTTAGAACACTCGAATTGTCTCAGATGTGCACCGCTAAGCTGAATTTTTCTTGACATTACCATTCAGGTGAGAAACTCAGATAATAAACATGTCAGCTCCCTAGTACAGTGTGACTAGATCACTGTCCAGTGGATATACAGTCAGGAGGAAGGCATGGGCCCTACCAGCACTCTTATCCTAAAGGTCTTGCTACACAGCAGAAAGCACGTCTACAGTACTTTGTCTCACTCTACAGTAACTCTATGAAAAACGAGTTCACAATTTTAAACATTGGTTTGTTATTTAGGTTTAGATCGTCTGCTTCTGGTTTCGGACTTCTAACTGACAAAACAAGAAAATGCCTGAGGAAACTATTAGTAACTGATAAAACAACTACTTGGCACATTTCTAACATGAAGCCAAGGACACGAAATACTGCTCACACTGTGTACTGGCTACACTATGTAATAAAGAAACTAGGGATGGGCGATAGAAACGATATAAATTTGGCCAACGATAGAGATTTTGACTATGCCGCTCTATCGCGATAGCGCATGTCGATGACGTCATCAAGCTGCGCCTGTTTTGGTCGAAAGCATCGCAGCGGCAACAACCATTATCATCTGCAAATTATGGCGGGCGACAGTCACAGCAAAGAGATGAAGCACTGTTGAAATATGGGGAAAGCCAAAAATGCGCTTCCTCCACCTTCGTAACATTGATTCATTAATGTTGAATTCTCTCGCAGCTGTTCTGTTCCCATGTTGTTGCAGTATATTAATAACTAACCTCGTATTGTGGATGAATTATCTCAGTTGTTCTCCTGACTGAAGTTTGGCCCGTGTATAGCATCCTGCTATGCGATTGCATTTGTCCCTGACCACCAGAATCCCTCATGTTAACTTTTATCGAGTGGAAAAAAGTTGGCGTTCATCCTCCAGCTTCACTGTGCTAATGTTATGCTAACATAGCTGTGTCGCTAGCAATCACGTAGCACAACATTATATACCAGGTAGTCCAACTTCAGTAACCCTGCAAACGTCACTGCTGTTTAGTTTTCTGTCTTCATTTATGTTGGAAGTGATAGCAGAGCTGTACGTTTGAATTAGTTTCAAAAATCTCTCAGAACATTGTATGAAATGTTTAGGTGGAAGCTAGCAAGCTAACTTCCTGCTAACATCTAACTCCGTTAAATTTAATAAATTCTGTTTTCATGGATGCCTGGATGTTAAACTTAATTATTACACCTGGTAAAGCAGCAATGCTGATGATTTTATTAAAGATGAAAGAATTTAGACCGTTTTTAACTCTCAGTGTTCGTTTGAATTTGGGACCTGACACGGACGGAGTTTTGGACCCAGATTACTCCGCGACGCTCCTCACTACGGCAGCCGTAATGCTCTGACAATCCATCAAGCAGTGCGGCTTACTAAAGTTGTACTAAAACATTTTTTTTAACAGATTTCTGCAGCCAAAATCGGTTCGAGGTCAGTAAGCACAACCAGAATTCATACATAAGGCACATTCTCGATTTTTGAGACAATTAAAGGATTTTAAGTGTGCCTTATAGTGTGGAAAATACATTATACAGAAGAAAAGAATATATCGCGATATATATCGTTACCGCACATGCTTCCAATTATACCGCGATATGGATTTTAGGCCATATCGCCCTGCCCTAAAAGAAACATCCTTCAAGTAACATAGTTTTGAATAAAATAACAATTTAGACTTGAAGTGGTTTCAAATGAAATTGATGGAACACGTTTTTTTAAAATTCATGTATTTCAGTAACAAAACTATTTAAATCACCACTGATCCATACATTATATGGAAACAGTCACTGTTAAATGAATTTTGAGGTCGTAACCAAGTGTGTAAAGCAAGGAGCCTTTGCTTTACTTTAGATACCTAGAGCTTTATGCAATTTCTTGGTATTTTTGGCTACATGGCAAACAATTTATTTAATGCTTTAGTACATTACACACTACTTAAAAAGTGCTGTTTGAACCCCCCCCCCAAAAAAAATCTGAATACTGAAAAAATATAAAAGAAAAGGCAAACATTATTAAGTAAATTAATCTGTTTTTGAGACATCAACAACACTGAGAAATCCATCTGTACTTTGTGGAACAGTCAACAGTATCCACAGAAATGGGAGAGAATCAGTTGCTGTTCATGTGGACAAGACAAAGGACAATAGCCTCATTAATGACATATCACGTGTGTGTGTGTGTGTGTGTGTGTGTGTTGGCTCAGGAATGAATTCCCTGAAATGCCCTTGCACTTGAAATTGATAAAATGGAAACATGGAGCTTCTGCTTGCTGAAACAGTTGATCAGTCCATCAGCTATGGCTCCATTGCTGACATATACGCCTAACAATCACATACATGATGCATCTATGCTCTTATGCATACAGCTCATTCTTGTGATTACCGGCAGAGTTACATCACCCTCAACGGTGTTGCAAACCCCTCTGAGTAAACACTAACACATGCACTTACAGGCCCCTGTTGGAAGCGCCTCTCGTCTATTCATCCATTACATGCCCATGTAGAGCGCCATGGCTACATCAAACACACCAATAAGGGAGTGGAACATCAGGACAGGCCTAAGTTGGATCATTCAGGAATGGAGCCTTAATTGATGCCTCGACCAGTCTCTCGCGTTATGGGTTAATAATGAGTTGTAAATGGTAAATGGACTGGTTCTTATATAGCGTTTTCTAGTCTTCTGAGCACTCAAAGCACTTTAAACAACTTGTGCATTCACTTGTGCACAAGCACATTTTTCTAAGTGCTTTCTAGCTAACATTCACACATCGGAGAGCAATTTGGGGTCAGTATCTTGCCCAAGGATAATTGGCATACAGACTAGGGGAAGCCAGGAATCGAACCACCAACCTTCCGATCAGTAGATGACCTGCTCTCACGCTTGAGCTACAGTCACCCCAGTATGAGTGCTTCCCTCTAGGTGTGCTGGCAACAGTGCTAATTGCTACTGTAATGTGACAGCAGGGAAGAAGAGGGCCACATGATGCTAAACTGACCAGTCATCACCAATCGATGCTCATTACACTAAAATAAATACATATTATTACACAAAATAATCCCTCAGACTGCAGGGATTAAAATATTAATTTCTTACATATGCAGATGAACAAAACTTCAGACCAAGGTGTTTATTTTGACAGCGTCCTTCAGGTAAAGAGGTGTGACCACCAGGACAGAACTTTCCAAAGCCTGAGGGTACACTCTCCTCGCTACCGTTGCTGTGTTTGTCTTCAGTTTTTGCAGCAAGTGTTTACAAAAGGACCCGGTGACTAATCTTCATGTCTGAACGGCTAATCGGTGTATGGTGTGGTTAAGCTGTGCTAGGGTGTGGGTTTAATCTGCTTTACCCTGAGTCATTTTAAAGAAACAACTGGAGCAAAAAAAAAAAAAAAAGGGGGAGGGATATCACATTATATGCATATTCACAATATAGTGGAAATGCCCCTGGCTGCAAAACTGACCCACTAGAGCGTTTAAATTTAATGTAAATGCTCTGTCAGCTTACTGCTTGATTAGATTGTTTCTCTACTTGGTTTAAACATAATCTAATTATCTATTTAATATTATTTACTGCAGTATAATTATATAAAATTAAGCCTACAATCCTTAACAGATCAAATCTCTGAGAGCAATGTTTACAAAACCTCTTGCACTTCTGAACTCTTAGAGTAATCAAATGTATCACACAGGATATTGGAGCACAGCAGTGCCATGAGGCACACAGACCGGTCAGCTGGTGGGCAACTACGCTTAAAGAGAAGGACGCACCTCATAATCCGCAGTAAGAGCTTCACCACATTACACCTTCACTAGCAAGGATGGAAAGGACGAAAGAGTGTATGAGCACATAAATACAAGTGTGCAACTGCTTACAGTAAGCATGTGCAAGTGCGTATTTCTAGCCAAGTCTCCAGCCTGCAGCTGAGGAGATAAGCAGCAACGATAATGCCAGCAGTAGGGGGCTCATTCTAAGAAGCGATGATAATGCCAGCAGCAGAGGACTAAGCGAATCAGCGTTTAAGGGGTTTGGCTCGTAAGCCATATCCAGTGCTACACCATTGCAGTTTAACAGTGAAAACTGATTTCACTGGGAGCCACTTCAACAATTTGGTTAGATCGTCCTACAAAGTTTAAAACTTTGGATCGGTGTTTTTAAGCTGACAGATGAGGGAGATGACTTTACCATCTGCACAGCCAATCACTCGCTGTTCTGATTAATCCTCACCCTTTAATGATAAAAGCCACAGAGTTGAGGCCAAGGAATAAAAACTAGGATTGCGGTTTTGGGAACTACAACACCAACTGGTAGCAGATGCAAAGGCTTAAGGCTGCAACTGGGAGTTGAAGAGCGAGCAAACCAAAGACTTTGGGGAAAAGGCAGCTCTTTTTTAATCTCTACTTTGTTATTTCTTCTGTTTTATCAAATGTCAGCGCTGACACTCAGTTAACTGAATTCTTTCCTGCATGGTAACATTTGTTCATCGCAAAGCACTAACATTTAACAGACATTTTACTCTTCTTAGACTGATTTGGGATCGAGGCCCGTCTCCACATCCAGGATTCAGCAGAAGTTTGGGCTCGGAGCAAATTATCGGTCTGCTTGACCGAGAGGTTTCAGTCGTTTGCAGTACAGAGCAGCTTTGGCATGAGGAGAGCACAGACCAACATAAATTATTTAACACACAACCATTCGAGAGTGCACAACGGTGCATGTAATCTTCAGGCATAAGTCATATTTATCAGTGTTAAAATTATCTGCACAGAAAGACTTTGCTTCTGT